CAAATTCATTCCTACAGCACTTAACAAAGCGCTGCTGTTTAGTTTTAAAATGATTCCCACAAATCCTGTGGAGCGGGAATCGGGCAGGTGGTGACAAACAGCAGCTTAAAAAGTAAAATATCTGCTTTATGGAGACTCGGGCAGGTCGTTTTCCCTCCCTCAGACTCCGCGCCGAGCTTGTCCCGAGAACTTCTACAACGCGAATATTTCCCATTACCTGCATCTTAAACCCCATTACGACCCCGGGAGGTTATTTTTTTTCCTCTTAGAGACATTTTCCCCCTTCACATCTTCACGTGGGGACAATGTGCTGATGGTGTTTTTCTCTTTGTTAAACCAGCAACTCCTGCGTGAGATGCAACAGATGGCGAGTCGCCCCTTCGCCTCCATCAACGTTGCCTTAGAAACAGATGAAGAGCCACCAGATCTCATCGGGGGGAGCATAAAGGTGAGAGCTGGGGCTTTGGGATGGTCCTCTCCACCATTTGTCCCAGGTGTTTATTGCAATAATCCCAAACCCTCCCCGTTTTCCAGAAGCTGGAATGCCGGGAGGGCCAACAGGTACCGTTTGAATTTGATTTTATCGCTTCGGATTTTCACTGAAAACTTCTGGGCTGGTTCAGATAAAACTCGTGCTGATTTTAGCCTGTGAGATGTTGGGTTTGCCTTGTTAGTTTTGTGCCTTCTGATAGAGAAAAAAATCAGCTTTGCACCAGACAACGTTTGGCTGCAAGTACCTGCAGCTGCTGCGAATAAAATCACCTTTCTTTGGTGATACCTCAAAGCAAACAGGAATATAATCATGTCTGTTGGAATATAATCTGTCTGTTGGAATATAATCTGTTTTTTGGGAATATAATCTGTTTGTTGGAATATAAACTGTTTTTTGGGATGTTATCTGTCTGTTGGAACGCTGTTAAAATATTTCTGATTATAAATAGATAGATCTCGTGACGAGCAAATAGGAGCTTGGAGAAATCACTTTGTCTTAAACACAACATGCTGGAGTTTTAGGAAAAGCATGTTTAAAAAGGCAACAATTGAATTAAAAGATCTTTTTAAGGTGATGCCTTGACTTGCAAAACTTAAAAATGAAGAACCTGAGAGCACTGATTGTTTTTCTTCCCTGCCCAAGGGCAGCTGGATTGTTTTATTTTGTTGAGGCTGAAGTTTTTTGGAAGTCTTCCTCCTTAGGCTGAAGGACAGTAGATTGAAATTAGATATTAGGAAAAAGTTCTCCCCTGTGAGGGTGGGGAGGCCCTGGGACAGGTTGGGCAGAGAAGCTGTGGCTGCCCCTGGATCCCTGGAAGTGTCCAAGGCCAGGTTGGAGCAACCCGGGATAGTGGAAGGTGTCCCTGGAACCATCCTCCAGTTCCTCTGTGCCCAAATTTGAGTCTTCATTTTAATGCAAGAACCCCAAACTTGTGTCATCACTGATGGTGTCCTTTCCCTGTGGGAATCCAAGCCTTTGATTCCTGAGGAGTTGATTGGAAGGTGACAAAGGAGAAGTGGCAAACGGGACACTCTTGTCTGCAAAGGATTAATTTGCTTTTCCATTGTCCAGAGCACCTGCATGGGGAAAAAGCTTGTGGCAGGAGGGAGATGCAGGATGGGATGATACAGAACTGGACAAATTGTGTTTTAATTTATATTTTCTTTTTAGTTTGGCTGTTTTTAGCCAAGAGTGAAATGCTGGTGTGCTGTTGGACTGGAACCATCCTCCGGTTCCTCAGTGCCCAAATTTGAGCCTTCATTTTAGTGCAAGAACCCCAAACTTGTGTCATCACCAATGGTTTCCTTTCCTTGTGGGAATCCAAGCNAATAAAATCACCTTTCTTTGGTGATACCTCAAAGCAAACAGGAATATAATCATGTCTGTTGGAATATAATCTGTCTGTTGGAATATAATCTGTTTTTTGGGAATATAATCTGTTTGTTGGAATATAAACTGTTTTTTGGGATGTTATCTGTCTGTTGGAACGCTGTTAAAATATTTCTGATTATAAATAGATAGATCTCGTGACGAGCAAATAGGAGCTTGGAGAAATCACTTTGTCTTAAACACAACATGCTGGAGTTTTAGGAAAAGCATGTTTAAAAAGGCAACAATTGAATTAAAAGATCTTTTTAAGGTGATGCCTTGACTTGCAAAACTTAAAAATGAAGAACCTGAGAGCACTGATTGTTTTTCTTCCCTGCCCAAGGGCAGCTGGATTGTTTTATTTTGTTGAGGCTGAAGTTTTTTGGAAGTCTTCCTCCTTAGGCTGAAGGACAGTAGATTGAAATTAGATATTAGGAAAAAGTTCTCCCCTGTGAGGGTGGGGAGGCCCTGGGACAGGTTGGGCAGAGAAGCTGTGGCTGCCCCTGGATCCCTGGAAGTGTCCAAGGCCAGGTTGGAGCAACCCGGGATAGTGGAAGGTGTCCCTGGAACCATCCTCCAGTTCCTCTGTGCCCAAATTTGAGTCTTCATTTTAATGCAAGAACCCCAAACTTGTGTCATCACTGATGGTGTCCTTTCCCTGTGGGAATCCAAGCCTTTGGTTCCTGAGGAGTTGATTGGAAGGTGACAAAGGAGAAGTGGAAATTGAGTCAATCTTATCTGCAAAGGATTAACTCCCTTCTCCATTGTCCAGAGCACCTGCATGGAAATAAAAGCTTGTGACAGCAGGGAGATGCAGGATGGGATGATACAGAACTGGACAAATTGTGGTTTAATTTGTATTTTCTTTCTAGTTTGGCTGTTTTTAGCCAAGAGTGAAATGCTGGTGTGCTGTTGGACTGGAACCATCCTCCAGTTCCTCAGTGCCCAAATTTGAGCCTTCATTTTAGTGCAAGAACCCCAAACTTGTGTCATCACCAATGGTTTCCTTTCCTTGTGGGAATCCAAGCCTTTGGTTCCTGAGGAGTTGATTGGATGGTGACAAAGGATAAGTGGAAAATAGGACAGTCTTGTCTGCAAGGGATTAATTCCCTTTTCCATTGTCCAGAGCCAGTTGGCAGCCCAGTGTCCAGCCAGTTCCATCCTAAACTGATGTTTTCCAGCTGGATGGGATTAAAGCTGTGTTTTCAATTAGTATTTTTCCCGGGGTGCTTTGGAATAATAAAAAGGGATTTACCTGCAGGACTGTCCCTATTAAGGGGCTGCAGCTTTGGGTTCTTTCCCACTCCACAAATCCCCACTGGATTGCAAATCCACGCTGAATTTGCTCAGTTATTCCAAAATCTCTTGGCTTTTCTCTGCAACTCTTTGTGCTGAATATTGTGATTTTTTTTTTCTCTGTGTTGAACATCCCTGGATGTCTGGGACTCATCCAAGTGGCTCAACTGCTGGTGCTGCAGCTCAGGCTTTTTTTTTTTAGGGCTTGTTATCAAATTAATCTCAGGCCTGTAATCCCCTGCAGCCATTTTTAGGAGCTTTTCCTGGAAGAATTTGGAGAGTATTTAGGGTTTAGAAGCTTTTCCTGGAAAAAAAATCTGGAAAGTTTAGGATTTTTAGAAGGTTTTCCTGACAGAATCTGGAAAGTTTGTAGTTTTCAGAAGCTTTTCCTGGAAGAATCTGGAATTTTTATCTTTTTTAGGAGCTTTTCCTGGAAGAATTTGAAACGTTTAGGATTTTTAGGAGCTTTTCCTGAAAGAATTTGGAAAGTTTATGGGGTTTAGGAAGTTTTCCTGAAAGAATCTGGAAAGTTTATAGTTTTCCATAGTATATTTAGTATTGTAATATAGTTTTTTTTAAAAAAAAGTATAATTTTTTAATAGTCTTTCCTTGAAAGAATTTGGAAAGTTTATGGTTTTTAGAAGCTTTTCCTGAAAGAATCTGGGAAGTTTATAATTTTTAGGAGCTTTTCTTGAAATAATTTGAAGAGTTTATGGTTTTTAGAAGGTTTTCCTGAAAGAAACTGGAAAGTTTATCTTTTTTAGGAGCTTTTCCTTGAAGAATTTGGAAATTTTATCTTTTTCAGGAGCTTTTCCTGAAAGAATTTGGAATGTTTACAGTTTTTAGAAGCTTTTCCTGAAAGAATCTGGAAAGTTTATAGGTTTTAGAACGTTTTCCTGAAAGAATCTGGAAAGTTAATAGTTTTCCATAGTATATTTAGTATTGTAATACAGTAAAAAAAAATAAAAAATAAAAATAATAAAAAGTAGTATAATTTTTTTATAGTCTTTCCTTGAAAGAATTTGGGAAGTTTATGGGTTTTAGAAGCTTTTCCTGAAAGAATCTGGAAATTTCATAGTTTTTAGAAGCTTTTCCTGAATGAATCTGGGAAGTTTATAATTTTTAGGAGCTTTTCCTGAAAGAATTTGGAACATTTATAGGTTTTAGAAGGTCTTCTTGAAAGAATCTAAAAGGTTTCTCATTTTTAGGAGCTCTTCCTGAAAGAATCTGGAAATTTTGTCTTTTTTAGGAGCTTTCCCTGGAAGAATTTGGAAGTTGCATAGTTTTCAGAAGCTTTTCCTGAAGGAATCTGGGAAGTTTATAATTTTTAGGAACTTTTCCTGAAGGAATCTGGAAAGTTTATAGTTTTTAGGAGTTTTTCCTGAAAGAATTTGGAAAGTTTATGGTTTTTAGAAGCTTTTCCTGAAGAAGTCTGGAAAGTGTATAGGTTTTTAGAAGGTTTTCTTGAAAGAATATGGAAAGTTTACCGGTTTTAGAAGCTTTTCCTGAAGGAATCTGGAAAGTTTATAGATTTTCCATAGTATATTTAGTGTAGTAATACAGTAAAAATTTAATAAAAAAAATAATAAAAAATGGTATAATTTTTTTATAGTCTTTCCTTGAAAGAATTTGGAAAGTTTATAGTTTTCCATAGTATATTTAGTATTGCAATATAGTAAAAAAAAATAATAAAAATAATAAAAATAGTATAATTTTTTTATAGTCTTTCCTTGAAAGAATTTGGAAAGTTTATAGTTCGAAGAAGCTTTTCCTGAAAGAATTTGGAAATTTTATCTTATTTAGAAGCTTTTCCTAAAGAATTTGGAAATTTTATCTTATTTAGGAGCTTTTCCTGAAGGAATCTGGAAATTTTATCTTATTTAGGAGCTTTTCCTGAAGGAATCTGGAAATTTTATCTTTTTTTTAGAAGCTTTTCCTGGAAGAACCTGCTTCTCTGCAAGTCCTTCCTCAGACAGCAAGCTGGCTGATTCCTTAAAAAATAGCAGGAAAATGGATGGGAATCAGCATCTTCCCCCAGTAATTAGTTTGCTTCGTTAGGGGAGAAAGTGCTGTCGAGTGGTTTGGAGGCTGCCAGGAGATCCCATCTGTTCCAGAGGAGCTGGGATGAAGTGCTGGGTGGATTTGGGAGTGGGAAGGGGGTTCCACAGATTAATTCATGTATTTTCAGTCAGTTTTTCCCCCTTGTTCAGTTCCTTTTCCATTCCAGTGGAGCTCCAACCAGCAGGAAAGGAGCAGGGAGATGAGTTGTAAGTCCTGGGGAGGGTTTGGGGAAGGTGCAGGGCTGGCAATGATTTAAAATGAAACATCTTCCAGCTCCAGGGTGACTTCACCTTCATTTTAATTTTTGCTGTGACTTGATTTTGGGGCTGTTTGATGCAAGGAGAGTTCAGTGAAGAGCCAAAGGCCGAGGAATGATGTTTTTTCCAGCTTTTCTTGTTCTGTTGTCACTGTTGGTGGTTTTTGGGCACTTCCAGGGATGGTGACTCCACCAGTGCCCTGGGCAGCCAATTCCAATGCTTTACAACCCTTTCCATGAAGGAATTTTCCCTAATATCCGATCTAAACACCCCCTGGCCCAACCTGAGCCTGTTTCCCCTGATCCTCTCGAGGTGTGTTGGAGGGGACAAGAGCAGCTCAGGGTTTCTCAAGGACAATAGAAATAAGCTGAAGGTCATGATCCTCAAAAGGATAATATTTGGAGAGGAATGGGATGGAATTCAGGGGGGAAATAATGGAATAATCTTGATCTGCAGGTGGTTGTGCAGCCTTTGAGGGCAGAAAGGCCAGAGTGATTCAACCTGACCTGGCTCGGGGCTCCTTAACTTGCCTTTGGAAAGGCACTTTAATTCCTGGTGTTTGCTGGTTCCAGGAGCTTTTCCAAGCATTAACACCAAGGAATTCCAAGCCTGGCAGCCTGTAGCTGTGTCCTTGTCTTTAGCAAAACCACTTCCACCCAACAGACTCCCCTCCCAGAGCATCGGGGTTACAAGGGGGACATGTCAGGGAGAAGTGACATCCCACCAACAGAAACACCTCATAAAACCTTCCCCCAGTGAATTATTTCCAGTTTAAAAAAAAAAAATTGAAAAATCAGGGGGAAAAAAAAATATCAGAGAGGAAACTTTTGCTACTGCCATGATATAATAGGGGATGTAAATATTTGGGAGGGAGCTGTCAGGAGACCACCAGAGATATCTGCTCAGCCTGCCCTGTATTTAGGGAACATTTGGCTGATAAGTGATTTAAACTGGTTTGAGATTTGAAGGCTAAAAACATTTCCTCAGGTTGGACCCTGATTTTAGGTGATAAGGAGGAATTTGCTGGAGGGAGAGGGAGGAGCACAAAGCTTCCCACAGGAGAGGGATTTGCTGAGCTCGTTTTTCCCCCTCTGAGGAGCATCTCTCTGATTGAAGTCCTAATAACACCAGCAGCTTCTCCCCAGCATTATCAGGGACCTGGTTTTGCATTCCTTTATGCCAAGGAATTATTTTGTGTGTGTTCTGTTTTCAGTCTTCATCCAACTGGGTTTTTTTGGGTTGGTTTTTTTTTTACTTCTTTTACTTTTTTCTGTACAAAACCCAGCCCGAGTGGTCAAAAAGAACCATAAAAATCCTGCCTCTTCATCCATAAAAAATCAATATATATATATATATATATTTATTTATTGCCCAGATTTGCTACCCATGGCCTCATCCATCCCATCTTTTCCCCCAGGGAACGGAAAAAGGAAGGATGAGTGGTGGTGTCCAAAGCTCAAAGCTGTGACATGAGATTTGGTCCTCTCAGGGTGACTGGCCTTAGAAATCCCAAATCCCAAAATCCTTTTCCTTCTCCCAGAGCTGGTGGCTGCTGGAATGAAAATAAAAATAAAAAAATAAAAATAAAAAATAAAAATAAAAAGCAGTTGTTAAATGCAGTGGGAGCAACTCAGTGTGAGCTCCCAGCTATTGGAAATCCGGGATGCTCAGATCTCTCTTTTCAATTTCAGACCCTGAACATTCATCTGAGGGTTTGAATATGAATTTTATTTAGTTCCTCACATCCAGTTTTGGGTCCATGTCGTGTTCAATTCATTTCCCCCCCTCCTTGCCTCTGTGTCACTTCCAAGGTAGATACAGGCACAAGGTAAATGTAAATTTTTAATCTAAACTCATTTACTGTGAATTATTGCTGGGATTGCATTCATCTCTATCTTGCAGGACACACATATTACCCTGAGAATATGATTTTTAAAGCTTAATAATCTATTTTTTTTTTTTTTACCCCAGGAAATTGCTTGTAACTTGTTTTTACAAATGTTCACTCAGCTTTTAATGGCACAATTTAAAAACTTGCAAATGGAATTTGACCCTTTTTTTTGTGCAGAGTGAAATCACCTCAACAAAGTGGAATCAAATAATAAGGTTTGAACTGTTTGGGGTAATGTTCCTCTTCTCATCCCCCACCATAAGATTTTTCCCTTAATTTAAATTTCCTTCCTGGAAATTGAAAACCACGGAAGAGTTATTTGATCAAACCACAGCAACATGTTTTTCTTTTTTAAGGGGGGGGAAAAAAAAATAATTCTCTCGAAGTTATTTCTTTTTTTTGGTAATACATTTTGAAAAGCAATGTGCTGGTGGTTGTATCACAAGACCTAAATAAAAGGGCTGCTGTGTTTTGGAAATGACACTGAGTATTTATTGTTCTGGCCATTTAGTTTTATGTGACACGTTATTAACCTTTCCAATTTGTCAAATAAAAGCAGCGTAAATAGAAATAATGAGACGAAATCAAACTGTTGAGGTTGAGCCATCACACGATTCCACCCGCCTGGGGAAAACATTGGGCTGGGAAATTGTCTCCTGAGGGAAACTGGTGGTGGATTCCACACCTGGATCACCTGGAAAGAGCCCGGACAAATTCCTGGGAAATTCCATTGGTGTAGGAAATGCTGCTGGAGAAGCTGGATTAATTAAATCC